TTGTTCAACCTTCACCCAAACCACCGTAAAATGCTACTTAAAATAAGTCAATACAGACAGTCCCCGGTTACAAACGACTCTTCCTTGCCCTCCAAGGTATGGATGGTCCCTCTCACGATGCCACAGTTGAACAAGCCCCCTGACTCCCTCCCACGGAGTGGACCCTGCCCATAGCAACCCTGAAGGATAGTAGAACTGCCCCCTGTGGGCTTCTGAGACTGTTACTCTTAACAGGGGTAGAAAGCCTCTTCTTTCTCCAGTGGCACCGTTGGTGGTTTCGAACTGCTGACCTTGCCGTTGGCAGCCCAATTCACACCCACCATGCCACCAGAGCTCCTTCTTTGCACTAAAGTAAGGCTAAATAAGAACCACACAACACATTCTGACTCACAAATTCCACCTGAAGACCCAGATCTTGTCCATAACCCAGGGCCTGGCTATATGTACTGAGCACCTCCTGGGATCCAAAACACTGGGTGCCAAACGCTGGGATCAGAAATAAGCAACAGGCCCAACCTGGGCCTTCAGGCGTCTTCTGCTGCAGCCAGGGAGGCTGGCCATATCCATGGTTGCCAGGTGGTGCCAACAGTGGCTGCATGCCAGCGAGAATGTACGCTGCCCGCCCCGCCCGCAATCTCCCCCTTGGCCGGCATGACTCAGATCTGGGCAGCACTCCACACGCACACTTCCTCCCCCACGCTTCACGGCCACCTTGGCACTCTCTGAGAAACCTGCACATTTCCCCCTGTGGCCTGCAGGAAGGTTCAGCCAGTCTGAACCTGTAACTCTGTTTCTCTCCTGACCCCAGGCCCCTGGTCATCACCGGGCTTCAGCAGAGTCAAAGGAGCTCTGACTGCTGACGTGGTTGGAGGGGGAGAGGGGTGCTAGCATCCCAGGTTCCGCAGGGGTGGGGAGTGCAGAGAGAAGTGGGTCGATTGAGTAAAGCCACAAGAGGAAGACGAAGTTGCCACTGGCAGGATTTCAGTTTGATGGAGAACACACATTCAGGGATGAAGGAAAGCTCCAGCCCATGCATGCACGGAAGCCCGTGGAGTCAGAGCGACATCAAGAGCTGGCTCTAAGATGTCATCAGAGCGAAAGCCCCCTTCAGTCCCAGCTACTGCTCACTCCAGGTGTTGCTCCCCACCCTAGACACACAGAACCTCAGAGCACAGCTCCCGGAGAGCTGAGTCCCTGCTTGTTCGCCCCAGCAGCACAGTGGTTATGCATTGGGCGGCTAACCACAAGGTCAGCAGTTCAAAACCACCAGCTTCTCTGAGGGAGAAGGAAGAGGCTTTCTACTCCTCTGAAGAGTTACAGTCTCAGAAACCCAAAGGGGCAAAGGAAAAGGCGTCAACCTTGACCAATGGTTACTGTGGGTGAAGGAGAAAGAGCTGTTGCTTAAGTTGGCACTGAGTTGATATTAACGGTGGAATAATGTGGAAAAAGCTAGCAGTAAGGGATGCACAACATGAGTGGAATCAATGGCACTCAATTAAAGGTGCAAAAGTTGTGGGATCGGCAGATGTTTTGCTGTGTGTATTTTTGCCACAATTAGAAAAAAAATAATTACACAAATAACAGTGAGTGCAAAGACGAAAATGTTCTAGAATTGGCTGTGGTGATGATGACACCGCTCTTCCAGAGATGGTGGAATTATAGAATTGTGTGACATGCTGATGAAGTGCTCATGAAACTGTTGGGGGGGGGGGAGAAAAAGCCTAAAGGGGCAGTTCTACCCTGTGCTGTAGACTCACTACGAGTCAGCATCAACTCGATGGCAGTGAGTCTGGTTGATGTTGAGTCCCTGTTGACAGCGCCTCTCCCGGTCCCCGTAACTCGTGCTTTCTATTCCGCCTCTCTCTGTTTTCAGCCTCTGGGACCCCCTACAGTCCGGTCTTATGACCTTGCCTGTGTCTGGGGCATCTGTGCCTCAGCAGACAGCTGTTCTCCCCGCCCGCCTATTTCAGCAGCACCTGCCCTTCTCTGGAGAAGACAGCTTCTCCACTGTCAACAGAGTCTGTCTACCTGCAGGGGCTTGGAGACTTAGCTAACCCCTCCACCTGCAAAGGTTCTGCCTGTCTCCCCCCACCCCAGGTCTAAATCTCTTGGCAGAGCTTTCGCTGGTTGGGCCAGTCTGTTCCCATCCCTCTAGATGCAAGGTCGAGTCTCTTTGTAGAGGCTGCCCTGTGTGCAGGGCCTGGCCACACGCAAGAGAGCCTTTGCCTGTTGCAACAGCCTGCCTCTGTCCAGGAAGTCTTTCTTGCCCCAAAGATGCTGCTCTTGTTTTTAGAGCCTTGATTATGTACACACCTGGGCACATCTTTTGTGCCCACAGTCCTTTGTCTGAGCGTCCCAAGAGTGTGTCCTTGGCCCACGCCTGCAGGACCAAGGCTCCTCCACCGCTGCAGAGCCTGTGACTGCTCGCAGAGTCTGAGTCTGCGAACGAGCCTTCTGGAGCCTGCAGCTGCTCCCAGCCACGGCATGCATCTGTCAGGAGCTCCTCCTGGGCGCCCAGGCCCATCTTCGGGGTGCACCCTTTTAGTAAAAGCTTGTGCCTGTCTCAGCCAAGCCTGGCTGGAGCCTGCTCTTGTTTTCAGAGCCTGTTGGCCTCTCCGCGGAGCCTGCCTTTCCACGTAGGCTGACTCCATGCCCACACCCCGTTTCCCGTCCCTGTTGACCGAGCCCATGCCTGTTTGCAGAGCCTTTGCTTCTCGGCATAGCCGGGCTCTCTCTGCAGCTCAGTGTCTGCTGGCGGAGCCCGTGCTTACTGTCTGGAGGGGCTGGGTCCATGTGTGCTTCTGCCCTTGGGTACAGAGTCTAGCTTTGTTTCTAGAACCTAGCCATATTTAAAGAGCCTGGCCCTGTGTGCCAGGTGCCCGAATAGCCCAGTGGTTAAGCGCTAGGCTGATTACCAGAAGGTCAGCAGTTCAAAACCACCAGCGGCTCCATGGGAGAAAGATGTGGTGGTCCGCTTGTGCCAAGACACCCGAGTTGTTCTGCTTTCAGATACACAATGTGGCCACATGAATCCAACTGCCACAATTCCAGTTGGATTCCCTTTAGTGACAATGGGCCCAATCTCTGCCTGCTGACTATGTCCTGTCAGAGTAGCCAGCCCCTAACAGTAGACCATGGGTCTGTAGGCGCAATTGTACGGCTATAACATATAAAGGTTATAGTAAAGTCCTAGAGAAGAGGAGAAGATAAAACGAAGGAGTCGGGCACATTTCATGGTAGCACGTTCACCTCAGCCCCTCTTGATGGTCCACGTGGAGGTGCGGGAGGAGGAGAGGGAGAGAGAGGGAAGGAGGGGAGCCCGGAGAAGAGAGATATTTACTTCTAACCAAGGCTTATATATACTTGGGTGTGTGCAAGCCCCCTAATTACAGCTAACAACATATGTCACAGGAAGGGGTAGTACCATAGGCAATACAGCAATGGGAGGGGGATGATCTAGGGGTGTACACACAATAGGAAGAGGAAGGATTAGGGGTACACATGTGACAAAATGGGCGGATCCTGGATTCATGATGGCAGCCTAACCTTGATCGTCCTTGAGCTGCTGGCTTGGTTTATTCTGAGCTCTCCAGGGAAACAAGCCCTACTCTTATCAGTAGGGTGTGAGCCCCACGTATGGTGGACCAGACAGTAGTCTGATTGCTCTGGGTGGCTGATGCCTTTAGGGAGAATATCTCCAAACAGCTGACCTCCCACCATGTGCGGGCAAGCAGCCTCTTAGGTTTGGCCTATATTTGGGGGAGAAAAACTGGGGGAAACCCTTTTTGTTCCCCACAGTGTCCCTCGATACAAGCAGAGCTTTTTGCTTACCTGTAGACAGGCTCTCGGTCTCTGGAGACTGTCCCCACGCAACCAGCCCCTCTCCAGAGGGCAATGGCTTTGTCTGCCAGCAGTTCCCACCTTGAACTCCCTGTCCCTGGGCCTACCACCTGCCCTTGCCCACAGAGCTCTGCCCAGCCAGACAAAAACCAAGTCCCTATCTGCCAGACCTCTGTAGGCCCATCTGCAGTGCTTGTCCTAGTGTGTGATGTGTGTATTTGCTCCCCAACAACAACAAACTCACTGTCATTGAGAGTGACCCTGTAGGATGGGGTAGAACTGCCCTTGTAGGTTTCCAAGACTATAACTACTGGAGTAGAAAGCCTTGTCTTCCTCCCTGGGAGCAGGTGGTGGTTGTGAACCAATGACTTTTCGGTTAGCAGCCCAACAAGTAACCCGCTAAGCCACCAAGGTTCCTTCTGAATGAAAGTTGTGTTCTCCCTCACAGAAGGGTCACAAGGAAGGGATGAGCCAGCCAGGGTGCAGTATAGCACTGATGAAACACACAACTTTTCCTCTAGGTCTTTAAGGCCCCCCCCATCATGACCCAAGATCTACCTCACAAATCTGGCTAGACCGGGGCATGTACACTGGTATAGATTAAGAGCTCTTGACACACAGAATCCAGGACAGGTAAACCCTTCAGGACCAATAATGAGAGAAGCGATATCATGAGGTTAGGGGACAGGTGGGGGGAGAAAGGGGGAACCAATCACAATGATGGACGTCTAACCGCCCCCAATCACAGGGGAACAAACAACAGAAATGTGGGTGAAGGGAGACAGTGGACAGTGTAAGATATGAAAATAATAATAATTTATAGTTTATCAATGGGTCAAGAGGGTGAGGGGGTCGGGGAGGGAGGGGGAAAAAAGGAGCTGATACCAAGGGCTCATGCAGAAAGAAATGTTTTGAAAAAGATGATGGCAGCATCTGTACAAATGTGCTTGATACAATGGATATATGGATTGTTACAAGAGCCTCCAATAAAATGATTTATATTAAAAAAAAAAAAAAAAAGTAAGACAGTTGTGTTCTCTGAGGAAAGTGCTTTGGAGAGCAGGAGGTGAGGAGGGGGCTTGCCTGGGGCCCAAAGCACAGGTGGCTTCCGGCCTGAGAACTCTGCTTCTTGTTCCTGGCTGCCTCCCCGCTGACCTAGGATGGAAATCGACTTGGACCTCCGGTCTATCGAGTGCCATCGGGCCCTCCACGTGTGGATCATTGAGGTGAGGGGCCTACCTACACCACAGGGGGGGTGCCTCCCCCGCCAGCAGGCATCTTTGGAGCGGGTGAGTCTCCTGAGTTGTAGCTGTGGCGCCTCCACCCTCAGAACCTGAAGATGGTGCCGGTACCTGAGAAGGCTTATGGAAACTTCTTCCAAGGACACTGCTATATTGTCCTCCACGTGAGTTACTTGGGGAACATGTCTGAGGGGGAGGATCCCTGCAGGTAGCTCTGCTGGTGGGTCGCTAACCACAAGGTCAGCAGTTCAAATCCACCAGCCATTCCTCGGGAGCCAGAGGAGGCTTCCTACTCTTTACAGAGTCACAGTCTTGGACACCCACAGGGGCAGTTCTACCCTGTCCCACGGGTCAGACTCGACTGGATGGCAGTGAGTTTGGAACTTGGTCTCAGGGGTGACAAGGGTTGGGGACTATGACAGCCCGGATGTAAGTTCCTCCCTGGGAAGGGACAGGCTGAGAGACCTGAACTGTGTTCCTTAAGAGGCCCCCTGCCTGGGTAGCTGCCCTCCCACTTCATGGCCTGTGGAGTCAGTGGAGGCACCTGCCCAATGCTTCCCACCCCATTCCCACCCCTGACCCCCAGAACCCAAAGGCTCCCCGGGGGCCATCCAGCAACCTGCACTATTGGGTTGGTGAGGCAGCAAGCAAGGAGGCGCAGGAAGCAGCGGAGACCTTTGTGCAGCGTGTACCGCAGGCTCTGGGAGACAGGGCTGTGCTGCACCGCGAGGTCCAGGGCCACGAGTCTGACTGCTTCCTCAGCTACTTCCACCCCGGAATCCTGTGAGCGCGGGTTGGTCGGGTCTGGGTGGGCAGGGCAGGGGTGGTGGGGTGAGGGTGGGGACTGGAGCTGAGACAGCTGTGGGGTCACTTTCCCCCCAGCCCTTTAATCCCTTAATGTGAGTGGTTTGTGTGTGTCTGTGTATGTGTGTGTGTGCGTGTTTGCATGGGTGTGCTTTTGTTTCTTCACACCCTTATTGAGACGCAATTCACATACCCCACAACGCGTCCATTGAAGAGTGCCAACTCAACCACTGTTCGTAAAGTCACAGACTAGGGCACCCATCACCCCAATCAGAGTTGGAACAGCTTCATCCGCTCGAAAAGAAACCCATACTCATACTCGTTAGCTCTCCCTCTCTGTTTCTCTCCATCACCGTGCCTGCCCTCCCCACCCACCACACACACACACAAGCCCCAATCTGCTTTCACTGTATAGACTGGCCTGTTCTAGACCTTTCCTGTAAATGGAATCATGCAGTGTGGGGCTTATCATGGCTGGTGTTTTCCCTTAGTATAAGGTTTTCAAGGTTCATCCAAGCAATATTGTTGTCTCAGTACTTCATTCTTTTTTCTTACTGAGTAATATTCCCTTATGTGGATATACCACCTCTTATTTACCCAGTTCCCTATTGGTGGACATTTAAGTTGTTTCCACTTTTTATGAGTAAAGCTGCTATAAACATGTGTGCCAGATTTTGTGTGCACATGTAGGCTTTACTTCTTTGGGATATATGTTTCCAAGTGGACCCCAATGTTGGCTGGACTTTGCATTTACCTTCCCATGCCCTGTAAAAATAGGACTGTCACTGTCCTTTGAGTCAAACTTTAAAAAATCATAGTAATTGTAATGTATTTAAGCCGAACCATGGGAGCTTACCAATATTCTACCATGTCCGCTTCATAGTGGACCCTAATACATGCATATATTGATACCTAAACATAATCATGCATGTGTATGTATATGTGCAAAAACACCTACAGACATCCAGGAATCACTATGCCCACCCACATGCACTCATGTCTACACTTACCTGGATAAACAGGTGCATAATGCATGCCCTCATGTACGCACCAACGGACACGCAGATGCACATTCATGCCCCAGCGTGTGAACACATGGACATGGACATGCAGATGCTCACACCTGTGCACACATCCATTCAACAGGCGCATACCTGCCCCCATGTGTGTACATGCATGTGCCTACATCTGCTCTTATTCTACATGGACCCCCCCTCCCTCCTCAGCTACAGGAAGGGAGGCCTTACCTATGGCCTCAAGCATGTGGAGACCAACGTTTATAGCATACGGAGACTGCTGCACATCACAGGGAGGAAACACGTGGATGCCACAGAGGTGAGCGGCCCCTGGGATGCTGCGGAAAGTATAGGGAAGTGGTGAGGTTGGTGGGGGAGGGTGTACCAGAGGGTAGCTGCCAGTCTGCGTTCCCAAAGGTCTACCTTGAATGAGGAGAGGGAATCCAAGCCAGGCTTCTAGCTCCGCCTCTGCCCAGTTTGCCTGACCCCCTCTGGATTTCTTCATCCTCCTCTTGGGCAGATGAGTAACTTGGGAAGGTGAGACATCCAAGATGGCAGCCTAGACGGCCCTCTCCAGCAGCACAACGGAGAACAGCATGGCTGGGGTGGGGGTGCCCGACCCACATTCTCTTACACATATTGTCATCGCCACCCGTGGCTGCCCTGGCGTCACTCACATCCAGATAGCACCATTGTGCTAATGAAAACAAGGCACTCCCTGCTTCCCCAAAGACCCCAAACCCAACTCGCTGCCATCCAGCTCACGCCGACTCCTGGAGACCCTACAGGACTGGGTAGAACTGCCCCTGTGGGTTTCTGAGACCCTCACTCTTCACAGGAGGGGAAAACCCTGTCTTTCTCCCACAGAGCAGCTGGTGATTTTGAACTGCTGGCCTTGTGGTTAGCAGCCTAACATGTAACCACTATGGCCACCAGCGCTTCCCTTTGTCTGGAAATTATCACCTAGCTCTGATTTTGCGGGAACAGAGCACTGTGTTGCCACGTGGCAGGTGTGTGGTTTTGTGTCATCGACCAGTGGAAGGGGTCCCTTGAGTTGCGCACCTACAGATGGACACTCTTGTGCTCAGACGCCAATGGACATTCCACCCACACTCTGTGACCTACGGATCTGGTGGCCCCATGGGCCCAGTCAGGCCGGGACACCGAGCAGCCCCTAGTTGACCTGTCATCATGACATTGTTATTTAGTGCGCCCTCTTACTCTCAGAGGTGTCTCGTGACAGATAACGATCCCTTGTGTAACTATAGCCTGTTGCCCACATGGGCACAAGGGCACTGTCACCCATGAATGCACACGCTGAGTCACACTTTTTTTAAATATAAATCCTGTTACTAGGGGCTCTTACAGCTCTTATCACAATCCATACATCCATTGTATCAAGCACATGTGTACATAGGTTGCCATCATCCTTTTCAAAACATTTTCTTTCTACTTGACCCCTTGGTATCAGCTCCTTTTCCCCCCCTCCCTTCCCCACTCTCCCCCACTCGTGACCCCTTAATAAATTACAAATGATTATTATTTTCATATCTTACACCATCTGCTGTCTCCCTTCACCCACGTTTGTCCCCCTGGGAGGGGGCTGCACACTGAGTCACATTTTATACGCCCCCGTCTACGTACAAATGTGATCCAGGGACCCACACACGCTCTCTGGGAAAGGCAGTGTTACCCACAGCCCCCTTGTCTTGCAATGCACAGTGGCATCCACTGTGTCCCTTGGGCTCAACCCTGATGGCACAGCTGCATGGCTGCACGCCCTGACAGGTGGTGCGACATGGTCACACGCGCGCCCAAATCCGTGTACATAGGGTGATACGTTTCGGCAGTGACCGGCTGCGCGACCCGCTGGCCTGGGTCTGATGGAATGACACGGATCTTCTCTCCTGCTCCTCCTGGCTCCGGCAGGTGGCGCTCTCCTGGAACAGCTTTAATGAGGGCGACATCTTCCTGCTGGACCTGGGCAAGGTGATGATCCAATGGAACGGGCCGCAGTCCAGTAGCTCCGCAAAGGCTCGGGTCAGTGTCTTCCAGGAATTAGAAGGCTTGGGGGTCAAGGTGGTCCCATGAGTGTCCATCTTCCAGCCTGCTGAAGGATAGGCGTGGCTCATCCAGACTCCCTGGGAGGCACCCATGAGGTGCCAGCAGAACCCAGAGCTTACCCTGGTGATGACCCTGGAGGCCAGATGAAATGGCGCAGCTTCTCCCTAGCGCCAGCCTGGCTGGATTGAGAGGTGAAGGGGTCTCCCAGGGAAGCCCTGACTGTCAGGTCCTCTCTCCCAGGGGCTGGCCCTGACCTGCAGCCTCCGGGACAAGGAGCGCGGTGGTCGTGCACAGATTGGCGTGGTGGATGACGAGGGCGATGCCCCGGAGCTCATGCGGATCATGGAGGAGGTGCTGGGTGGCCGACGGGGGAACCTCCGTGGCGCCATGCCCAGCGAGCGTATTAACCAGCTGCAGAAGGCCAACGTCCGCCTCTACCAGTGAGCAGACCACCCCTCAGTGGGAAGCTGGGCAGGGTGGGGAGTGCCCATCAAGACTTCAGTCACGATGGCTATAGAAAACCCTCCAGAAAACGTGCGCTTGGCCTTCAGGATAGACCACGTTGAACCCTGCCTAGACTCGTGTATAGACAGGAGGTCCATTGTACAGACAGAAGGCTGAGAGCCAGAGAGCTGCCTGAGACTCCGCAGCAAAACTGTGGGAAAATCAGGAAACTGAGGACACCTGGGCTCCAGTCCCTCTGCCTCCGGGGCCTGGGGGGGAGGGGCAGGAGGAGGCTGGGCTACAAAGGGGCTCCCCACACCTGACTGCT